TTTTTTTGTGTGTGTGTTCTTTCCATTGTTGATTTCAAGCTTTATGGTGCTAGGGTCAGAGAAGATAGTTTGAAAGACCTCTCTGTTTGAATTTTCTCATGATTGCCTTGTGTGACAGCAAGTGGCTTATTTTCAAATATGAGCTGTGTGCATGGAAGAAAAATGTATTGTTTTGCTATTGGTTGGAGAGCTCTGAAAATGTCTATGAGATAGTTAAGGTTTATTGTGCAAACCTGGCCAATAAACACAAATGGGATTAACTGAAGGGTGGGGAGATAAATGGCTTGGGGAGCCTCGCCTTTCTAATTCTCTAGCTGCTTTTTGATGGTCGGACCATGCCTTAGACAGTTCCCTGCTTCAGCTGGCAAGGCTCACATTGCCAAGGAGAAGTCACATGGATCTACCCTGATATAGACCTGGATGCTGGAGCAGCCATATGGAGACCCCTGCTAAGGCTGAGCTGCTTACATGCTCACTGATTCGGCTTTCCTCCTGCAGTCAGCATCATTGCATGTGTTTTGTGAGATTGAGGAGGACTTTGTAGATCGGTATCGGACATATGGGCCAATGTTGGACTTATGGACTTGGGCAGCACTGGGTTGGGATGTTTTCTTAATTTACACTTACCCTTTATATAAAACTCTCATATATAAGTTCCTGTGGATTTGCTTCCTAGTCTATCCAGAATAACACAGTCTATTAGGTTGAGTTGTTTGATTGTATTGTTCAGCTCTTCAGTTTCTTTATTGAGTTCCTTACCTGTTGATCTATCTTTCTTTGAGAGTGGTGTATTGAAGTCACCTTCCATAATTGGTTAAAATCCCGCATCACCCTCAGGCTTTCTTTGATTCGTTTTCTTTTATATTTGATTGTTTTTCTCATTTGCTGTACTCTGCTTGGTTATCTTCGAGATCTCTGATTTGATTTTCCATTCCTTCCTTTTATTGGTGAGATTATTCACCTTTTTCTTTATTTCTGCTGTCATTCCTTACCTCTTGCATTTCCCTTCAGTGTGAGAATTTTGGTACCTCTAATTTTTCATCAGTTTTCAGATTTGATGCCTAATTTCTCGTACGGCCCTACAGAGCCATTCTCAAGTATTCTTTCTCAGGAAATTCAAGAGCTGCTTCTTTTGTGTAAACCATTGGATTTAGGTCTTCAGTAATTGACTTTTGTTTATCTAGATTTTTTTTTACAGTAGCTGCTGGTGTTGGCTTTTGTTTACCGTACATTGCATCTTGGTTGAGTTTAAGGTGGTTTGTAGTCTTCTGGCATGTGCAGTGGGAGGGCTGGCTCTTTAGGTTAGAGGAGGATTAGATAGGTGCTGGAAAATGTATTGTAAACAGATGAGGAGGGAGTTAGGTGAGTAAGAGAATTAGGGTACAGGTGTTCAGGAGTATGTCTTAAGTGGTGGTATTAATCATAGGGAGTCTTCCCATTAAGTATAGTCATTTTTAATGAGTTGGTGGAGCTATTTTACTTGGTAACTTAAAGGAGAGTGTCTGTTTACTGAGGTGGAGGGAACAGGTTCCAGAAGTTGTAGGGGTAGAGGAGAGGTATTTGAACCTACCAGAGTCCCTTATTGACCCTGCATATTATGTAGGGAGTGTGCAGTCTTTCCATAATTGGGTTTTAAATCATGGGTTCCTGCACAGCTCAGAACTACTCATTCCTTACATATAGTCCTAGGGGGGAAATGAGCTATTACAGGGGCTTTAGACCAATGGGTGATTAGGCTAAGGACTGTGAGCTCCAGTTTCACAGGCTACCTAGCCTGCTGTGGGAAAGTCACTGAGAAACCTGGAAATACCAGGTTCTGTTTTCTCTGGCGGTGTAAGTTTTGTGTTTCCCTTC